TTAATACTTATATGATAAAAATATACAGAAGAGAAGAATTTTTTAATTTAAAATACAAAATATTATCTATAATTATTTTTTTAGAAATACCTTGATTATGCCTGTAAGTGTTATATCATCGCCCGGCATACAGATATTGACTAAATCATCTAAAAGTTCTACATCAAGTATTTTAGGTACTTTACTTTTATTCTCCTGCAAGATGATGTTACATATTAATATTATATATACAATTTTATGAATATTTTATATCAAAATGATTTGACATTTCATTTATATACATATAATATTACAATGTATTTAAAATATATATTGATCTTTCTAAGATCATAAAAATGTATTAAGTATATGATTACTATAACATATTAAAATATAGAAGATCATTCTTAAACAAGTGTACAAAATTTAAGGGAGTAATATTTCTTGATTTTATGAAGAAAAAATCCGATGAATGATGTTCTAAAGTTTTAAGCACTTTTATTATTCATGCGAATGCTTCTAGCAAATTTAAATAAAAATGTTTCATTGGTACTAGAAAATGATTCTTGATACTACATGTAAGAACACTAATAGTGTTTTCTCTTGGGATGCACTGGGTGCAGCCTCGCACTGCACCAGTTGCGTGTAAGCGTTATTATACTCAACTACACTACACTAGAATGGTGTACACTACATTTTATTGCGCTAAAATCCTGTTCCCGCTTGACTTCCATTTTCAAATTTTAAATGTCACAAAGATTTTACATCGTCTCTTTGAAAGTGTAGCAAAATTCTACTTCGTGCATAAAATTTGCCACCATTTTTTACACCATAGTCACGAAAACATGGTACACTATTTGAGTGTTGCTAATGAGCGATAGTCAAGAGAAAACACTATAAATTTGATTAAAATATCTCTAATAATGAATTCGGCAGACTGTACTAATGCACACTGAATATGAACTTTTTTAGTGCCACGCATTCGGCTCAGTGCGTTAAGATTGTTGTTTGAGAAATGGAAACTAGTGCTGAATTTATATTCGGATAAACTGTACGAGTTCAAGAAATGTTGCATTGACGTTTCTGACATAATACAATTTGAATAGCATCAAAGTGATTCTTGCACCATGTCAGAGCAGCATTAGAACAAAGTCAGTGCCGAATTCAACATTTTTTTTAGATTTTCGAAATTTTTATACATATTTCTTTTCTCAACTGTGACACTCTGCATTTTGAAAACAAAGCACTTTAAGACAGATGTTCATGGAATCTTTTCTTCGTAAATCAAGAAATATCTCTTTAAATTTTTTTTTAGAAATCATCCTGTATAGATAAAATAAAATATACGTATATATAATATTATTTATGCTTATTTATTTAGGTACATTTAGATAAATAAATTACTTTAAATGAAAAATACAGAGGATTACGCCATCCATGACGTGCGCCAAATTGATCGATAAAAATGAACGAGATAGAACGTCAATCTATTGGATTGTCGTGCCGATGTTGAAGGAAAATTGAAACGCAGAAAATTTTAATTTAATAAATGTATACTAAAATTTAAATTTTAGTCGGCACGAACTTTCCGGACAACCCAATATTTCTGTCTATTAAATGATTAAGGGAGAGAGAATGAGAGAGAGATGCCGTTTTCACACTCTTTCGCTCTTATTTTCATTGATCATTTAATATATGCTAGTTGAATACGGATGGCACAGTTCTCTTTCATTCTATATGTCTTTGGTTTAAACCAGGCCTGTCCAATTTGCGCCGGAGTCAAAAAGCAAAGCCATCGACGCAAACAAATTTAATGTGAATAAGATTTCATGAATTATAAAGTATTAATAAGCGTTCGCTCAGATGCGTATCAACACTTTACAGTCTCCGAAATCTTACCCATATTGATCTTTTATATTAGTTGTTTTGCTTTTTAGCTCCATTAAATTTATTTTAGCTCATTTAAATTTATTTTGTGTACTAGGTAATTGAATTACCTGTTCATCATTTAACGGTTCCTGAATTCTAATTATTTGACATAAGACAGTTTTTGTATAAGATGAATCTAAAATTGGATAAAATTTTGATGTACCACACACATCACATTTTTTTTTTGGCAATGTATACATTTCTTGCCGCTGTTTGACTAACTTTTGCAAGTGACATTTGGAACAGGCAAATACTATCCATTGTGCAAGATATCTTATTCTGTTAACTCTTATTACACAGCCTCTGGTGGATATCAATTTCTCTGTAACCATTTTTATAAAATAACATTTATTGTTCAGTTCAACAAGAAAAAACAAGAATTATATGTACTTTCTAATAAAAATCTATATTTGTATATACATATACATATATAAAAAATAATATAATAGTATGTCTGTATATATGCGTGCGCGTGCTATATACTATTTGTATGTACATGCATGTGTATATACATATGCATGTATATATATATATATGCATGCACGCACGCACAATTATATATACATATATACAGAGTGTCCCATAAGTTTTGACCAATCGGTTTTATGTAGATAGAGCGGACTAAACTTATCGAAAAGTCCTCTACCATTTTGCAATTTTCGCAATGGTTAATGAGATATTATTAGATTTACTTAAAACGTGCGACCAAAACACTCTGTATACACACACACACACACACACACACACGCGCGCGCGCGCGCGCGCGCACGCGCACGCACGCACGCATGCACTACTCATATATAAAAATACTTACCATAACAGTTTAATTTGAGATCTCGCAAGCATATAATTGGTTTATAATTTAATATACCTATTTTAACTGTTGGTAAATTGCTAATAGAATTCAGAACATGTTGCAAATTTTCATCCGGTACTGTCTCAAAAATTTTCTAAAATTGTAATATAAAAAATTTGTAACAGGAACAATTAAAACAAAGCAGAAAATAATCTATGATTATGTTATCTCTATTAAACAGGAGTCTCTCCAGGGCTCCAGGCATTTATTTTAAAGTAATAGAATAGTAATAGAAATTTTTACAAATACAAACTTAATTTATATTAGACTGCGTTCAAATTCCCACCTGGGTACTCTTCGGATATCATACTATCCTTGTTGTTTATTAAACGTTAAACAAGGATGATCTAACACTCGAGGAATACCCGCGTGGAAATCCGAACGCAACCCAATATAAATTAAGTTTGTAAAAATTTCTATATTAATTTGTTATTATATATTTCCAATTTTATTGTTAAAATCATTTAGGAAATTTTGTTTAAAAAATTAGGGGAAATTACTTGAAATTAAACTAGCTTCACTCGCATATATTAAAAACAAAATGTAACAAAAAAATATGAGAAATTATTTTATTGGTCTCTAACAATAATTTAGCACATACATATTTTAGAAATATATTATTTAAGAAATATTATACCACTTATTGAGTATTATTGCGTTTAATAGCTGCATAAGTATACTCAATAAACACTTGCTTAAAACATTTTTGCGTTAAAAATTTTTTAAATATAAAATTCTAAATTAATATATTTTAGATATATGTTTAAGCTACAATACATCACTCATTATTAAAAGTAAAAAAATCAAGAACATTATAATATTAGTGATAAAGCAATTTCCAAAATTCCTTTGATTTAATGCAAAGAAATTATTGCACTTATATTAAAACTAAATTATATTATTAAAATCCTATAGTTACTTTCGAAATATTACAAAAACGAAATATTACGAATTTATTGTTCTATTTAAAATGTTAAGAATAAATAACATTTCTTGTCATCTTGAATCTCTAAAAGCAATAAATTTCATCTTTTGTGATTTAAAAAGTATATTGTACCGGGGGGGGGGGGTAGACTAAGGCTATGATCAAAGTCTCGCTACAAATGCTTTGAAGCATTTGATGGATCAATTAGAAGAAAGAATTTTACAAACTAATCAATTAAAAAACGCTTCAAAGCGTTTGCAACATCGCGTTGACCGTACCCGTTTGGCTCCTGCATACTGGACGCTTGCCACGCGGCAAAATGAGACGCGGTAACCAATGAACACATTAGGAGCTGTAAGCTTATTGGCTACCGCTTTACATTTTACGCGGCAAGCGTTTCCACGTCCAGTGTGCAGAAGCCACTTGGGTGCGATTACATGGAGCGCGATACAGTAACTAGCGGGGTTAAGTTATATTCGTGACACTTTTTTCTATGGCGCACTCATTATGCGCAAGAATACTAAGTTCACAAGCGCCGCAAGTATCGAAAATCGAAACTTAACTCAAAATTCAAAATCGGTCCATTTTCTGAGGACTGGTTAGATTGAGTGAAGTCTCCTTAGTCCAGAGATCGGCAGATGGGCACTGCTCGCGGGCGCCCAGCTGCCTGCGGATAACAGTTGAACGCGCTGAGCATTAGTTGAATGTTTTTGGGCAATAAATAATATGAAGAAAATGATATGAAGAAATAATAAGGGATATCATATGGAAGACGCATTTTCTTTTTCTTGTATAATTTCGGTTCATATGTAAATATATGTAATAGAAAAAAAAAATAATTAAAAAAATAATTTTTACATACTTTGAAATTCTTTTGTATTAATATTAATATAAATTGTAAATATAAAATGTCTATATATTTTTCTTTTCTTTCTTTTTACAATCGCTGTTTGATATA